GGGGGGGGGGGGGGGGGACAATTCTCCAATCTATATTCGTGGGGAGCCGCACGTGCTGGGAACTGGGCCCAGCGTCCCATTTGAAACATATTTGAGGCCATATACAGAAGAACTTGAGAGATGCCGTGGCCATCACAGCCACTCTAACAACCATCTTAAGGGCAAAGTCATAGTACTGGGACATTCCTGGATGAATCTTAACCATAGTTACTCCCAGATGCAGCTGAAAACGTACAAGCGTGAGTATGCCCTTAGATTGCAGTGACTGGAAGTGCTATTGAGAAACTAATCAGATAGCGTTCCCGCAGCACTTTATAGGTCACTTTGAATCTAATTACTAACTGGTGTGTGCGAATGCTAGCTGCTTCCCCCCATGCTCCTGCAAATGAGTCATACCGACTCATACGTAACCTGGAGTGTGGGTCTTGTGTAAAAAAATAAAAATAAAAATAAAATTGGAGTTTTTTTCCTGTAGATGAGTCGTCCGATTCCGAGTTACAGCCTTTATAGCATCATCAGGTGATTATTGTATAATATGTATATTGATTAATTAGGGAAAAAAAGGGTCATCAGGTAATTGACAATTGTATACTAGTGACCGCGATTAATCTATAGAGATTCTGGAGTGAACCGGATTCGTTAAGCTGACCTCCTTTGGTTCACTCTTTATGCTGTGATAGAAGAGTCTTTAGAACAGAGAGATGTTATTATGTTACTTAAGACCAGTACATCTGTGCCCTTCTGTACAACGAGGACGCCCACTGCGCGCTAAATTTTGCCGAAATGTCGGCGCAGCGTTCTTGTTTTAGTCTTGGCTGGCGCCACCAGCCATTTTGGTCCCGTTGCCACGAGCCTCCAATTTTTTCAGAGTGACTCAGTCGTGATTCTCAAGTTGGCTGGGGCCATCTACTGGTGGTGGTTTAAAACACCCTACCAGTTCGCACGAGCCTAACTTGATGAAGCTACTTTCCAAGGCCCATGAGCCTCCAACGGGGAACTTTGATAGTGCTCTTCTGCCTTCACTACCGGCCCAGGCCCTACTCGAAAGTCTCTTACCATGTATACTGGTAAGAGCTCAAAAAAAAAAAAAAAAAAAAAAAAAAAAAGAGCTCAACTTAGGATCGCTGGGTGAAGTGGTGGTTTAGTTTGCATATGGTGCTCGAACGCTGAGTTAAGAGTTGACGCTGTTGTCACGGAAGAAGCAAATAGAGTAGCCTACTTATATTGGTCAGCGCCAGCAGGTAGAGAATATTTGCAGCTGATTTGGAGCGGGTCCACCTCCGTCAAATGGTGTGCTCAACTGTGGTCAGCGGTCGCAAAGCATGTGTCATTGACATGGAATAGCTGTTCAGAATATGCTCGCTTCATGCGTAACAGATGCCTTCAGACTTGCTCCAAGATGTTTGACGCTAACGTGCTTTTCCAGGAATGACACCAAACAACATCACTTCAGAGTCTTCAGACTCTTCTGAAGCTGTGATGTAGAACCTTGTGTCGAAATGGGATTATGCGCATGCATGCATGCATGTGTGTGTGTGTGTGTGTGTGTGTGTGTGTGTGTGTGTGTGTGTGTGTGTGTGTATGTTKTCATGTTCGCTATGCACAACTTCACAGAAGAAAGGGCATGAGTGTGCCACACTGTTTTGTTGGACTTTCACGAACTCGTCAGGAGGTTGTGGGTGTGTGTGTCTTCCGAGGGGGGAGGGGGAGGGGGAGGGGGGAGGGGATTGAGGGGTTGTCTCTGCCCCAGTTGCATGTGGCAGAACAAGTCAAGATAGATTTTTCTTTTTGGCTTTTTGTGGTCTGGTTTCCTTTTCCTTCTTTGGCGAACACGCCACTTCATCCTAACCATCCACAGCCGAAAATTATTGTGGACATCTAGCAGTTTGCGAATGTAGGCTTCGGACCACCTTCCTCGCATAGCACAAGCCACTGCCTTGGCAGCATGACAGGGAGCTTGTTGGTCCAGGGCCCTAAGCATGTGTCATCTTAGACCCCAAGCCACTTCCCGAAGATGTTTCTCTTTCAGCTGCTCTCAAGGTGATCACGTAAACACTAATCCCTAAAGTAAAGACTAGTAAGGAAAAAATGTACATAGCTTGTATGGCAACCATGGTTAACCAGCTTTGTATCTATAAAAAAAAATAAATGGTGTTTAATACTGTTCATGGAAACTGTGGTGATTAAGCAACTTCGTATTTATTGTATATAATAAATTAATATGCTATTTAGGATTCCCAAGGTTGTGCGTCACAAGTGGGGGTCTAGTTTGAAGATTTTGAGTACATGGGTCCCTGCCATCCGATCTGAAAATCTGACGGCCGCCTTGTGGCCTCTTTTTTTTGTTTTCTTTTTTGAGGTGATGCTAGGGGTGCAGATAGAAGCAGGCACAATTGAAACTGAATTTTGAGGGGGAAAAAAAAAAAAAAAAAAAAAAGAAGCAGGCACAACTAGCACTCCGGGGCTGGCTCCATCAATTGGTGGGGAGCAACACCTGCAGGAAATCGGGTCCAATGTCCCTAAGGCTTACATGATCATCAAGAACAAGTCACTGTACGTTGACAGTAGAAACCTGCCTCTTCGGCCCAACTGAGCTGCCAGATACACATACCATCCTAGCAGATCTACCTTATTTATCCAAATGCAGATTGATAACATCCAAACTGAAAAATGCTAATTACACATCCCCGCTTCCAAACCAATCCATATCTACCAGAGCCAGCTCAGAGGGAGGAAAGGGATCAAGAAATAAATCAGGAGATCTCAATGAAGCTCCTAGGAGGATCGTGAAAGAAAATGTGATTGTCCCTTTTGAAAGAGACCTCATCCTCTTCCCCTCCTGGCCAAACCACATCTCCCAGTCTCTCCTCTGAGCTTTCCCCCAGCCTGCGTAGCACGGCGAACGTGTTCGCGGGCCTTCCCGTTCGGGCGAACACGTTCGCCTGTTCGCGCGAACGGGTAGAGAACACGTTCGCCAGAATGTGTTTTCGAGGCCCGCGAACAGGTTTCGCCCAGGCCGGTAGCGGTCGCTGGTGGGGTTTCGGAGGTCCTGGGGAGTGTGTGTGCGTGTGTGTGTGCGTGTGTGTGTGTGTGTGTGTGTGTGTGTGTGTGTGTGGGTGTGTGTGTGCGCGTCATGTGTGTG